TGGGATAATACGGTATGGCATGCCAACTATTTAAATTTGTGCCAAGGTGCCACCCTGGCATGCCATTTATACGTACGCATCTTATTACAAAATATAATTGAGTCCGATGATAGATTTGTCCTTGATATAAAAAAAAATCACGTTGGTACGTACAAGATCTATACCATGTGACCTTAAATGTTAAGATTGGCCAATTATGTACTGTACCAAATTATAACGATAATCATTAAAAATGTCAGCTTTAACACGTACTAATATTCTTTCGCTTTATCGATCTTTTCTTCGTGTAATTGAACGTTGGCCAACGGACTATTTACGTCCAAACCGAAATTTAAAACATATTCTTCACTTACGTGTTACTGAAGGCTTTAAACAAAATATTGCAGTTAAGGACGCGAATGTACTTAGAGCTTTAGTCTTAGATGCAGAAGTTGAACTTGATGCATTAAGAAGGCTGGCAGAAAATGAATTTAAAGAGAAGGTTAATTATAAATTTCAATCTTAGTATTTTCTTTTGCAAATAGTTATCGTTAAATTTAAAGATGTATAAAGTCCGTATATTTTACGTTTTTATCAGTACCCACTTTCGGATAGGATTTATAGACCAGCAGCTAATCCAAAATATTATTCAGGACTTGTAGCTGCGATAGATAAAACAGCTAAACTTAAACAAGAAGCAGACTTGAAACCTTCATTATGGAAAAGATTAGGGTTTTGGACAAGAAAGTTTTTTTGGAATTGATATTACTACATAGTTTGGATCTTGAAATCGAGATTTCTACTTAATTTGGATTCATAACTAAAATTCAAATCCAATTTTCGATCAAATAGTGTCAAAACTCAAAAAACAATAAATACAAAGATCGGGATTAACTGACTAAGTTTATATATTCATCTTGTAGCGTCAAATTCAATTGCCGATCAAATTTTTTAAGTACGTTATATATAATACAGGCTTTTGGTAATACGTAATAGTTTTATTTAACAACCTTTATCCCGAATAGTTTTGGTGAAAGGGTGAAATAAAATAAATAATTAAAGAGAAATTTTGTTTTTTTTTTTCGTATGCAGCATGTTTGCTAACAAAAAAGAATTACAATAAAATTTGAAGATGACAACTAAAGATACTGATGAAATTAAAAAATCTTATTAGGTAAAATATTTAATAAAATAATTTTACTAATAAAATTGTCTTTGGAATTTTAATAAGAAAAATTTTCAATCTTAAATCCTAACTTAATACAAATTTGCAAATTATACTATATACAGTCATTTCTGATTTGTATTTTCATTAGGTTATTTATGTTTTTTTTATTGAGTTTATATTTCTACTTTAGTTATATCTCTAAAGCTTGAAAAAAGGAGAAATATAACCCGGGTATGACTGTATATAGTGTGTATACTGTATACAGTATATTTAATAAAAATTGATTTTTACAGTATCATACTGTATATATAAAATTTTTGCAAATCTGTAAAGATTTTATATAATTACAAAAGCTTTTTTTTACTTATATATATATACTGTATTTTCTAATACTACATATAGCTTTTATAATTTAAAGATACAAAATATGAGCTAAATAAAAATTAAATTATAAAGCATTTTTATTCTATTTTTAAACACATACATGTACTGTATTTAATAATTTTTACTATATATTATACAAGCAAAAAATATACATTTACAGTATTATATTAATACGTAGAAACTAGGTTGGTAAACAGAAATTGCATACAGTAAAGCAATATTGTATACAGTATACAATAGATATGTATATACTTAGGCAGTACGTACCGACTGTATTTACCTTTTTTTAATATAGACCTTTATGAGGTCTATATTATTAGCATAAAAGGATCTAGAAAAAGATTTCTCTAATTACAATACGTGCTCCAGAGTATAGGTTAAGATTTCCTAAGATGTAAAGTGATAATTTTAATTCTTGTTAAGATTTTAACAATAACTAATGCCATATTTTAATAGGACTAGTTGAATTGTATTCTCTATTTTAGAAACTTAACAAATAATGGTTTATTTAAATTATAAAAATTAAGCAGTGCATGGCCTCACCTTTGAAAAAAAAAAAATTAAGCAGTGCTTTTTTGTATATAAAATAAATTTTTAGATTTTACATTTAACTAAATTAATAAAATTTTAAGGTTTTACATTTAACTGAATTAATAAAATTTAAGATTTTACATTTGTCTGAATTAAAAAAAAAATTTTAAGATTTTACATTTAACTGAATAAAATTTTAAGATTTTACATTTAACTGAATAAAATTTTAAGATTTTACATTTAACTGAATTAATAAAAAATAATCTTAAAGTCTTGAAGAAATAAGATTATTTCTTATTCCCATATTCTCTTTAAAATAATCTTCAATAACACTTATTAAACCTAAAATTTCTTCTTCGGTATTATCAGCATGTATGCAAATTCTTACACGTTCTTTTCCAACAGGGACGGTCGGAGATCGGATTGGTTTTACATTATATCCTGCCTTTTGAATTATACGACTTAATTTTACTGCGTTGTCATTGCCTAAAAATGAATATTTGTAATGAATTACCCGGATAACATTGGTTATTTTAAAATATTGTGAATGTTCATTACCTGGAACAACTATTCCTTGGATAGCACTAGTGGATGATAACAAAACATCATGCGGTAATTTGATGGTTGAACGAAATATTTTGATTAATTTCATTAAATTTTGTCGAAGCTAGAATTAATTATCTTACGATTAGAATATTATTAATTATCAAAGTTTAATATTTATGCATGCAGTAATACCTGATCACCTATTTCGCTAGACATGACCTCATAAGAGCATTTTATAGATATAAGGTTGTTATATGGTAAGAAAGTAGAAAAGATTAATGGCCTCGCGTAGTTGATTAGATATGACCTTAATATTTTTGGACCAAGAATAGCCGCTATTATAAAAATAATTTTTTAAATATTTTGATTATTGAATATAGAGAACATATGTAATATCAAAATTTGACTACCTCCACTACTAGCTAATGCTTTGCCGAAAGTATGTAGCCGTGCGAACACGTGACGTTCCAAACCTAATTCACAAACGATCCCTCTGCCTTGGTAACCATACACGCCATTTGAATGAGCCTAAGTCAATTATAATACAAGGGTTAAAATTCGTAAGATTTAAAAGAAGTACATATTATCAATCCCTAGAGCATTGCATGACTATCGTTGTATATTGATTGTATATTGATTGTATATTGATTGTATATTGATTGTATATTGATTGTATATTGGTTGTATATTGGTTGTTGTGGAATTAATTTAGCGTTAGAAATTCATTATTTATATAATTATTGTAGGAACTAGATCTGACGAGTTTTTTTTTTGGCAACACTCATTTTGTAATTATTTTTTAGATCAATACCTGCCTCATCAACGAATAAGTATGCATTAAATGGATTTAAGGTTTCAACAATTTCCTTTAGAGGAGAAAAATCACCATCCATTGAATATAAGCTTTCCACAGCCACAAAGATATTACTTTTTGTACCAATTTTTCTTATAACATTCTCTAAAACCAATTTAAGATTTTCGATGTCATTATGTTTGAAACTTGTAACTAATGATGCTCTAGAAGCCCTCACACCATCATGTACACTTGCGTGCACGAACTCATCTATAATAATTGCATCTCCCGGTTGTGGGACACTACTAAAAAATCCTACATTCGCGTCAAAACCAGATGTAAACATTAATGCGCTTTCTGCATTATGAAATTCAGCAAGAAATGTGTCTAATGATTCAGCATACGATGAATTTCCATCCAAAAGTCGTGAACCTGTTGAACCAAGAATTGAATGAGGAAATGTGATAAGAGTATTTAAATATTTATCATTTAAAATCTTATTTCTTGAAAGCCCAAGAAAATCATTAGATGAAAAATCGGCCGATGAAGGCGACGCAACCACTAGATAACGACAGAGGTCACGTTTTTTTCTTCTTTCTAATATACTTTCTAATTGTTCTTTCAATGGCATTGAGAAAGATCTTTGAAGAGTACTGAAATCGGATTCCTTTTTATTTGCGATAGATGATCTATCGTGGGACAAATGACAATGATCAAATTTACTTTCATAAATACAGATCGTGTAACTACAATTGCCCTTTAACGTTACTGTAGTCTAATATTGAAATTAAATTAACTTTCCAATTCAAGCTGAAGCAAATTGTAGTTTGCATTTAATTATCGTTATTGACTATTTTTTTCCAATTTATATCACATGAACTAAATACGACTCTAAATGCAACGCCTTTTTTAAATATACGTCTGGTCATATAATGATTTTATAAATAGATGTTTTTTTTTTATTTTGCAATCGTTAATTTTTTTGATCCATATAATATTATTTTATACATTATACATTATCAGGTAAGTGTGGGTAATTTGGCGGATCCTACTAATTCGGTACCATTCAATTCATCACGCTAAGACGAATCGAATGATACGTATGAAAATAGTCAATGTTGGGGAAAAGTGGCGTGCTATTTAAACACTGCGATTTCTTTAATTTATAATGAATGCCGAAACCATATGGGCGGAAATTTTTAGTGGAGTGCTGTGACTATATCAAATTAGGTGATATAACAAAGTAATACTTATAAAA